CTCTTCCTCCTCCTCTTCCTCCTCCTCTTCCTCCTCCTTTTTTCAACATTACCATTTCATATATAATTGTTTGATTGTAACAAATTGGATTTTTTTCTCTGTCTTGCTTGATAAATTTATTAAATTTCAACGGAAAATTAACACATTTTGTTTTGTATGAAGTGTAAAACTTGTTGTAGCTGTCATTTGCTTAATGCTTATTTATTTCTTGTGTGTTTGTTTGTTTGTTTTCTTTTTTATAATATATGTAATATGGCTTTGAAAGAAGTTTTGAAATATATAAACATTCCTGTTCCTTTTTTTGCTTTCAAAATTATCCTTCAGAAATTTTAAATTATAAATTATTTTCTGATTCACAGTAGCCTACTCTTAATACATAATATCATAATTGAAGGAATTCAGGTGGTTGCCAGTTTTTCTGTAAGAATAAATTACGAATTTTTTTACATCTGCAGTGTCATTTATTTTTTTTGGTACGAATAGGAAGGTTGAATGAAATACAATCAACTAATTTTTTTTCCTTCTCTTTCTCTCTCTCTCTTTCTCTCCGAATATTGTTCACTCATTATCGGAGAAAAAAGGGAAGTGATCTAATTTTATGAGCATTCGATCAAACATTCTTTTGCTATGGTTTGAATATTAAATCATTCAAATTTTATAACGTTTAAAAGGAATCGGACCATTTTCTGATAATTTAAATTCCTGAATTAAAAAATTTTTTCTTCCACTGCATTTATCACTGCTTTTATTGCGGCTTCTTGCTTGATCTGAGCAACAAGATTGTTTTTATCCTTTTTTTTTAATTTTCAAACTTTAAAACGGGAACATTTTTACAAGCATTAGTTTTTCATCAATTTTATATCTTGTCCTTGCTGCTACTGCTTTTTGAAATAATTTTATCTGAATTTGAAAAATTACAACAAATTTTTATGGAATTAAATAAGGAATTCTTTCTATTTTTTCCAACCATCCTTCCTTATCCTCTTTCTCCCACCAATTTTATTTAAATGAAATGAAATTTTCAAAGTTAATTTTCATAATAAATAGTACTCATTTGCATAAAGATCAACTTATGATATATAAATAAGCAATAATACTGACATGCTTGTTATATATTTTACTGCGTGATTATTTAATACTATTAAATGTTTCCGTTTTTTTGCATTTCTTTTCTTCTCCCTCTTTTTCTCTCTCTCTCCCACCCTAATAGAATTTTGATCTGATTATGAACGTTATTCGTTGATAATTATTAAAGTTTTATACGACAGCCGAGCAAATATTGGGTAAATTTTTTTTAGCTTTTTTCTTTTAAATAAACTATGCTATATATTTGTTAGGCTCGAAAAAAATTTGGCTGAAATGATATCCTTCCTTTCTAACAGAATATTTTATTGTTAAAAATAGAATTTAGAAATAATAGATAGATATAAAATTTGAGTAATTTAATTTAAGTTATTGTTCACTCAGAACAGAGTAATAATTCTAATTGTTAGTTAATTTTAAATAAAATGTTTGATTTCTGGTTATTGAGTAATTTAAAACGACTTATATATACGTGAATGTTGAGATTATGAATTAATTACTGGTTAGATCCTAATAAAAAGCATCCTTAAAAAAATTCTTTTCTTTCCACTTCTGCATGTTTTACTTTGCCTATCAAATATATTTCCCTCAAAATTTTACAAATTTCATTTGAAACGTGAAAAAAAAATTAGAACAAACTCAGAATATTTTACTTACAGATGAACTGGTACACGAGAAGGAACGATACAAAAATATTTCCGAGGAGTTGGATCAAACCTTCCAAGAACTTTCTGGATATTAAAAGAAGCCAAAACAAAAGAAAAACAGGAAAATAATAGAAAAAAAAAAGATTTTTGCTAACAAAATATAAATTTTTCTTTTTTTAATTATTAGAACTTATTCAAGTGCTTTGCCGAAAAATGTTTTGCAAAAATAGCTATGCGATAAATTTATTATCAAAAAAAAAAATGTTTCCTTTTTTAGTGCAACAAAAAAAGAGAAAAATTAAAATACGTGCAAAAAATTTTTTGAAAATTTATGAAATTACCTTCTTCATTTCTTTTTTTGAAAATTGTAGAAAAAGAATCCACATTTAATGAAAAGAAAAAAGGAGAAATAAAAAGTTTATCATCCATACGAAAATTTCTTTACCAACAACGAAAAAAAATGAAATCATTTTTTTCGTCAAAAAATTTAACTTTTTTTCTTTTTTTGATTGATATTTGCTTCTTTTTTCACTACTTGCTATTATTTCTTTTCTTTTTCTTTTCAAAATTATAAATTAGAAGGCTTTATGCTATTTATTCCTAGGCCATTCAGTTTTTAATATTTGTAATCTCTTCATTTTCTTCCTTTGTGCTTTTTCGTTTCCTATATATCCATAAATTTTTTGGTATTCCTCGGATAAACGAAAGAAAAAAATGGCATTTTTTTTTGCAAATAACACTGAAAGTTGCATTCGGTGTGCATTACAAATCATCATGGTTAAATTAAAATTACAATGTTAAATTATATATATTATTATATGCAAATGTCACATTTTATCAACTCTACATAGTTACGTGTTATCCGTTAGCACAAGTTATACGTTGTTCCTGGTATAACTTTTATGTTATCCTAGATACAGGTTACATGTTATCCCCCGGTAAAAGATACGTGTTATCCGCTAGCACAAGTTACGTGTTATCTCCTGGTGTAAGTTTCGTTTTATTCTCCATACAGGTAATGTATTATTTCTCGGTATAGGTTACCTGCTATACATTAGCAGAAGTTACGCGTTATTTCCTAGCACAAGCTACGTGTTGAAGATTGCATATCTCACCTGGGACATTGTCGGTATTACAGGTTACGTATCATCATCATCATCATCTGATATAATTTACTTGTTATCACCTGATAGAGTATCATCGGATAAAAGTATAAATGTATCATCGTTTGATGCGCATTGCCTAGTCTAATATCACTTGATCTGAATTTGTATTATTATCTGTTAGAGGTTTTATGTGTTATCACACCTGCTGCAACTTGTTATCACCTTGTTTATTACCTGATACACACATTATTACCTCATACAAATTACGCATTATCATCTCTTTCCGAATATTTTTTTTCGCAAAAAATTAACGATAGCATATCATTTAAAATCTCGTTTCTCGTTTCTAATTTTCATTTTAACGGATAACAAAGAAATGAAAAAATTGGCTGTATGATTTAAAATTTCCTTTTCTTACATCACATTTAGCAATAAAATTCGATGAATAATTAAAAAGCAAAAGAAATAAAATTTTATTTCTTTTCTAACGATACGGAATAAATTTATGTTCAATTGAAGAAAAAAGAATAGACCTGAAAAAGAAGGATATGAATGATGAAATTACATTTAATCATTAATTGATGGTAAAATAATGCAATTTTTAAATCGATAAAATGGGTTGCTTATTTGGGAATGAAAATCACGGGAAAAACAAAAATAACATTAAATTTAACAAAAACTTCAGCATAATGCTATGTAAAAATTACGTAAAAAAAAAAATTTTTCAGATTAATTTTTCAAATTTTATTTTAGAATTTGAATTTATTGCGTTGAACATAACAATTTTAAAAATTCAAAACTTGAAACTTCATTTTTTTATTACGTTTTAAAAATTTAATTTTTGAAATAGGAAGAAAGGAAAGAAAAAGACGAGAGTAAATGAAAAAATTGAAAGAAAATGCCAACGATTTATAATCATATATGGATGAATTGAAAAATGTTTGAATCGGTTAGAGATTAAATTTTCCGGCAAATTTTTCTTTGAAAAAATTAAATTTGAAATAGTTTATTCCTACTAAAATTCTTAACCTTATACTAAAGAAGGCTTTTCCAAAATATCAGTGGAAAATTATTACTTCAAACAATAGGAAAAAAAATTCAGTTCATCATTTCTTTTTTTGGCACTGATAATTTATTTTGCAAAGATTGCTTTAATTTAAAGATGAAATCAATCAAATTTAATCCGCAATTATTCTTGAAAATGATTCTAACGAAATGATGAAAGTTTCGTCTTAATAAGGAAAGTTTAACAATTTTAATTTAAGCAAAAAAGTTTCTTTCTCCTGAATTTGCTCCATTTTTTAATTTTTCCTTGTTAAGGAAAAGATTAAAAATTGATAGCAAAACAGAAATAACAAAAATCAAATTTTTCTTTAAGTTATTAGGTCCAAAATTTATTCCTATGCAATTTATTGCTATCCATGTAATTTAAATTTCAAAAAATGCAAAATGATGAATAAATGGAATTCTGTGTGACTGATTTATGATACGAAATGCAGTTGCGCAAACGGTCTCACACATATTATTTCGTCTTTTTTCAATTATCATTTTTTCAACGAATTGAAATCAAGAAAGAAATACTATTTATCATTAAATTTAATTTGTCAAAAATTTCAAATTTTTAATATTAAATTTAAAAACAGATATTGAAATACTGCATTGAAAATGATAAAAAATTCAAAGAAATGATTTCTGTAATCAATAATTCATAAAAATAATATTTAAGTATATTTAATCGTTACCATTTAAGTATATAATCTCATACATGCATGTATCACCCCAAATATTTCTAATATTTTTTTTTTTTTTGATAAAATAAATGCATTAATTATGCCTTTATCTGCCAGATAAAGATTCGCCATTTATTTTCAATCAATTCAAAAAATCGAATTTAAACAGAAAAATGACATAAATTGACGATTTATTGCAATAGCATAAG